GTGGCTGGGGTCGTCATGCACAGCTCAGGTCTCCACCCTGACCCCGGTCACCACCCCTCCCCCACCTGCGGAGACCAGGACTGTCACGCGTCGTCCACCCGCGTGGAAATTTTACAAGGGTTCTTGAACTGGTGAACGCACAAGAATGTCAGGTCAGCAGCTATGGGAATCTGCACAAGGTCCTGGGGCTGTAAGACGGAACTGGGGGAACTGGAGACACTTTCGTGCCTTCCCCTAGCTTGGTGGTTCCATGTCGGTGTCACTGTGTCGTGGCACAGGAGGGGTCATGAAATGGGGATGTGGAGCCCAGGGCAGAAGTACAGATGCAGGCTGCACTGCTTGAGTTTTGCAGGTTTGGGCATGTTTGCTCCTCGGGGCTCACTTCTCAGTCCCGAATGGAAGATTCCTCACCTACCCGCAGCACAAAGTCCTGAGGATGTGGCTGCTGGGATCATGGGGAGCATGGGTAACAGCTTGGGGGGCAGCCAAACTATTAGATAAGGAGCCCGGAGGTACTGCTTGGGCAAGTTCTCTCTTTTGGACTGGGGGGTATACTTAGCAGCACTCAGAGCTTACTCTTCTCTGTGCTCAGGGGTCATTCCTGCCTGGTCAATCCCAATTGGGGTGCCAGGGATTGAACTGGGGGATGTCTCGTGCCAGGAAAACACCTGAACCACTCTCTCTCTCCCACCCTATCTCTGTCCTTATTAATGGCAACGTCCTTGTTAATGTCCTCATCTCTATTTCTGTCACTTTAATCTTCATCGGCAAAATACCAGTGACCATGGAAGGAGGCAGAACGCACAGCTGGGTGCGGAGCTTAATGTTATTTCTCGGGGCCCCGGCATGAGGACCTCAGGGTATTCTTTTTATATATATATAATTTTTATTAGTGAGACACCATGGGGTACAGTTGTAGACTTACAAATTTTTGTGCTTGAGTTTCAATTATACAATGATCAAATACCCATCCCTCCACCAGTGTCAGGGTATTATTAAGGGTTGCCACGACACTAGCTCTCTTCAGGGTTCCACCATCAGATGCTTGGGAGCAATCACGCCTGGTGTGGACACACACACTCCTACCTCAAGCCACTGCGGGGACGCCTGGGGGTCCCCAGCTTCTTGAGCTGGTGAAGATGTGTTGCTGAAAATCAGGGCCGACAGCACAGTGCCTTGTTCGTGCCATGGGACTTCCTCCTTGCCTGTTTTCTTGGGTTGTTGTTTGTTTGTGTGGGAAACTATACCCAACAGTGCTCAGGGCTCACTCCTGGCAGTTCTAGGGAAACCATAGGAAATGCCAGGGATTGGACCCAAGTCAGCTCCATGCAAGGCAAGTGCCCTACCCGCGGTACCATCTGCCCAGTGCCCCTTCTGTTGAGGTGATAATCCCGGGCTGTGATTGTAAAGACTCAACTCTCAGGCTCACTCAGGGTGGCAGGGTCCAACCCAGGGGCCTCCGGGCCCAGTGCTCCTGAGAAGAAGCCCTGCAGAGAAAGTGTTGGGGGTGGGGTGGCCCCACTGCTCACAGCGGCCTGGTGTGTCTGAGGATTGCAGGGGCTGCACAGAAGGGACGTGACTGGCAAAAGTGCAGGGAGGCCCAGGGTTGCCAGAGAGGGAGAGCGCAACCCCCGGAGTCTCTGGGGGCTACGGGCCTGGAATCTGGCTCTTGTCCAGATGGGGCTGGAGAGGAGACATATCCGGGCCCCAGGGGCTTAGTTTCCAGCCAGAGGGCAGAGGCCAGGTTCCCCAGGAGGGCTGCTGGGGGGTCCTTCCCATGATTCCTCCCGAGAGACTCCGCTGTGGCCACTGGCTGGCCTCAGTGTCCTCCATGCCCCAACCTCTTCCGGTGTGCTGCCAGGCCTGGCTGAGAGGGGCAGGTAGAAAATTCCAGTCCCCCAGATTGCTGGGACCAGGCTCTCCTGGGCGCCTGTTCAGCCGGGCACTGCTTTAAGGGTTGGGGTCTCTCAGAACAGTCACCACAGTGTGTTCAGTGTGCCAGCACTGTTCTCGGACCCCGCTCGCTCCTCTGGACACTGTCTCGTGCCTCTACTCCCCTGTCTTCCAGAGCCCATCTCTCCCTGGCCCTGTCTCTCCCTGACCCCGTCTCTTTCCCCAGCCCTGTCTCTCCCTGACCCCATCTCTCCCTGACTCTGTCTCTCCCTGACCCCGTCTCTCCCTGACCCCATCTCTCCCTGATCCTGTCTCTCCCCTGACCCCATCTCTCCCCTGGTCCGTCTCTCTTCCCGGCCTTGTCTCTCCGTCTCCTGGGCCTGACAGGGGAGCAAACAGGTGCCATCTCCGCGAGCCCCACTGTCCTGCCCCACCCCCAGCACAGTGGACTAGATCCCAGTCTGACCAAGTTGTCCGCTCTGCCCAGTTGTGAGAACAGCCGACCTCACCGCAGGGGCCAGGGATTGAAAGGGCCACCCAGGACCAGGTGTCCCCACGCTCATGATGGTATGACCCCAGCTAACCTGACTCCACCTCTCCTGCCCAGGAGGAGGGGAGCAGAGGGCAGGAGGATGACAGTCCCCCACTGGGCCCAGATGACATCAGCTTATGTGGGCGCAGGGCCAGGAGCCTGGGGTCTGGGGTTCCTGGGCCACATCTAAGACTTTGCTATGCATAAGCTGTGCAGGGTGAGGTGGCATGGCCAAGCCGCTGCCTGCCTGCTTGCATCACTGCCCTCTGCTCTCTGGAGGGCCAGAATCTGCTGGGTTTGAGGGGCTTCACTGTAGGGTCAATGTGTGGACTTTGGGGTCACAATGGCTGTGTGACCTTGCACAGACAACTTAACCACTCTGAGCCTTCTTGGGCTGGAGGCCTCCAGAGGCCAGGAGCTGCTCTCTTGTCTTCCTTTCCTCCCACCGCCCCATTCCAGGCACGGGGTCCTCTAGCCCGAGTCACCTCAGAGACCTCCTCCCATTGCTCTGTCCAAAAGGGGGCTCCTGGAAGAGCCCAGGGAGCCCACCTGCAGTGATACCACCTTGCCAGGGGCTGCTTACTTAGGACATGTGGTGCTCTGTGTGTGTGTGTGTGTGTGTGTGTGTCTATGTGTGAGAGACTGAGTGTGAGTGACTGAGAGATTCAGTGTGTGCGAGAGTGTGAGTATACAATGTGTGTGAGAGAATATGTGAGAATTTGTATGTGGGACTATGGGGTGTGTTTGTGACTGTGTGTATGTAGAGGGATGTGGGTGTGAGTACATGCAGAGATATGGGTGTGTTTCTGTATGTGGGGTTTCGGGTGTTTGTGGGGGGGTATTTTGGGGGGATGTGAGTATGTGTATGTGGGGGGGTGTATGTGTGGGTGTGAGTGTATTTATGGGGGTATATTTGTGTATGAGGGATTTGGAATGTTTGTGTGTGTGCGGTCTGTTTGTGAGTATATGTGTGTATGTGAGGGTGTGGGGTGTTTGTGAGTGTGTATGTGGGGGATGTGAGTATGGGTGTGAGTGTATGCAGGGGTATGGGTGTGTTTGTGTATGCAGGGGTATGGGTGTGTTTGTGTATGCAGGGTTTGGGGGGTTTTGTGTATGAGTATGTGTTTGTGAGTATGTATGTGGGGTGTAGGTGATTTTGTAAGTGTGTGTATGTTTGTAAGTGTGTGTATGTGGGGGGATTTGGGTTTGGGTGTAAGTGTATGCAGGGGTATGGGTGTGTGTATGTGGGTTTTGGAGTGTTTGTGAATGTGGGTGTGTTTGTGAGTGTGTGTGTGACTGCTCACTCAGATAGCTCATATCCTGCAATTCAGAGGGCTTTTCCCAGTCACGGTTGCATGTCTTCTATGAGAGTGTCATTTACACCCCAGAAAGAAGCCTCCCACCCTCCAGCTCCCCCATGCCCCATCTCTGAGTGGCCCCTCGCCTCCTCCCCTCTCCACAGTGTTCCTGTCAGTCAGGGCACCCCAGGCCCTTAGTGACTGGCGGTCCCAGGACTCACTCAGCATAGTGTACTCGTGACGTGTCTATTCTTGATGGCCGTTTCCATATGGCATATTTTTAAGTGCTCAGGGAATCAGGATGACTAATGCTCCTACAAATGTTTGCAGACAGGCTGCGTGTAGGCAGATGTTTCCCTCTGTGCCTAGGAGTAGGGTTGGTGGGCCACGGCTGAGAGTCTGAGGAGCCGCAGACAGGCTGCTTTCCACTGCAGCTGCTCCCTTTTCCATTTCCCCGGGCAGTGTTTGAGGGTCCCATTTCCCCCATGCATGTCAACACTTATTATTGTCGTCTTTATTTTAGCCATGCTGGAGAGTGTGACTGGTAGCCTGCTGTGGTTTCTGTCTGTAGTTCCCTGGTGAAAGCAGATGTCGGTGCCAGAGGACCCATTCAGATTCTGTTCCCATTTTCAGCCTGGTGTTCTGTGTTTTCGGCACTGAGGTGCAGGAATCCTTGCTGGATTGGGAGTGGGGGAGTCCCAATGGTCACAGACTTTCTCCCCCATCCCATTCGTTGTCTTTTCACTCTCTTGATATTGGCCCACGAAGCAATAAGGTTTTCATGGGGATCAAGTCTGTTTTTTCCTACTCCTGGTGTCACATCTGCTGTGGAGGTTGGGGGGCTGGTGACAGACTGTTGTGGGGGCTAGAGGGGACTGAGGCCTCTTGATGAGCTCAGAATGAGCCCCAGTGGATCATTTCCATAGGGAATTGGGGGACACCAAGTTTCTCTCTGAGGGGATTGGTGCTGACCATTCCTCTGGCTCTTTCTCACGAGGGACCTCATGCACTCACAGCAGGGGTAGAGGGGGGTCAGAGACCACTGGCGCAGAGATGGGTCATTGCTCCTCGTTGGATCTCACTGAGCAGTGAGAAAGGGGGCTCGAGAGACGGGCGGGTGTGGGATCTGTGGCCTGGCAGCTTGGGACAGAATGACTGAACTTCGTCTCTGCAAACTCGACCTGTCATCCACCGGCGGGCCTGGAGCCAGTGGCCCTTCCTGCTCTAGGGTATCTGGAAGTGACCGCTTGGGCCACTAACTCCCCTTTCTCCTGCAGCCATGAAGGCCGATCGGAAGCGCCTGAAGGGTGAGAAGACGGACCTGGTGAGCCAGATGCAGCAGCTGTACGCCACGCTGGAAAGCCGCGAGGAGCAGCTCCGGGACTTCATCCGCAACTACGAGCAGCACCGTAAGGTCGGTACCACGCCCCCAGCCTAAGCCCCGCCCCCTCCCTGCCTTAGCCCCGCCCCAGCTCACAGCACCGCCCATAGCCCCGCCCCCAGCTCACAGCCCGCCCTACCCTGTCCTAGCCCCACCCACAGCTTACATCCACGCCCACAGTTCACAGTCGCCCACGGTCTCGCCTACAGCTCCCAGTCTTGCCCCAGCCACGCCCCCAGTCACGCCCTCAGCTCCCAGCCACGCCCCCACCATCACCTAGCACACTCACCTCCCCCATCCGCAGGCCCTCCTACCTCCCAAGGCCTGTCACTCAGATCCCAGCACACAGAGCCACTGTCCAGGCCTCTGAATCACTCAGGTTCCCTGGGAGCCCCGTGGCTTCAGGGTTCCCAGCTCCTGGGAACAAGCCTGGATGGGGTGGAGGCAGAGCGGACCGTGGGTCATGGCTGGTCAGAACCTCTTGCATCTCACTTAACCCCTCAGATCCTCGAATTCTTCATCTGCAAAGCATGCATCCCATTGTAGGGCAGTAGGGAGGCGCTAGAGCTTGCAGCGTTATGAGGAAGCCATGCACACATTCAGCGTGGCACCTGATACCGATAGAGCTCAGGAAATATTAGCTGTCATTTAAAAAAAAATGTGAGGAGACCACTAGGGAGATACCAAGAAGTTCTGCCAGGCATGTCTTAGAAGGCTTCACAGAGAGGTGACATGAGTTGGGTTCTGTGGGATGAGTTGGAGTTTTAGTCAGATGACTGAGTAGCTTGTCTTTATGGTGTAGTATGGGGTGGATGTGCCAAAGAAACTTAAAAGAAACTGCTGAAACAAACTTGAAAGAAAAAAAGAGAGTGAGTCCCCCAGCCAACCAGGCCTACAACCAAGCTGCAGTGTATATAGGACAGAAACACCATTGAGCTCTCTCTTCAACCATAGGACACGGGGTGGCACAGGATGTCATGGGTGGGGGAAGTGGGGCGGGGGGCACTGGTGGAGGCTTCATTGTTGATGGAAGGCACGAGTCATTCTCCAGACCACAGGTAGTAGGTCAGGCTGCTTTCAAGTGCATCTCCTCGGAGCCTGTGCTCGATAGAATTTGGCTCTAAGGGCTTTATCCCAGTGGCCTAGGGGGCCTTCACCCAAGGCCTAGGACTAGGCCTCAGGACGGGGAAAGAGCCGTGTTCCAGGGCCACACACTGGGAGAAGGACAGCCCAGCGTCAGCAGAGACCAGGAAGAATGCGTGATGTTGGAGGGCCGGGACGAAGAGCTGGTTGATGTTGGAAGAGCTGGACAGGCCGCCAGCGGTTGGTGTCACCTTCCCGGGCACGTGGGCAGGGCTGAGGGAGCCGTTAGCGATGGCGCTTCCTGTGTGTGGCACTGCAGCCTCTGCCCTTGCTGCTGCCCTGTAGGGCAGCGTTCCTTGCCACGGTGGTGGCAGGGCAGAAAGGTTGAGGAGTGCCCCCAGCCTGGTGTTTCTGGGCTGTGGGTGCTCAGAGACAAGGTGTGAGCTCAGGGAGTCCTGCACATGTGGGGCCTCGGCTCCTCCCATCAAGCTGTCTGCTTGGCCCCTGCATTTACTGTCTGCATAGCTGCCCAGATGACCTGGTCCACCCACACCGTCCCATTTCTCAGAGGCCAAGAGTCTCAGGGAGTCGCAGGTTCTTAGCAAAGCCTGTAGCTCCGTGTCCTGGAAGTGGGCGTCAAATTTACCTTTATGATGTGTTCTTCCTTGGGAATAGAATTCCTGAGACTAGCCACAGGGAATGGGAACATTCCCCACAAGACCAGCCAGTTGGTGGGGAGTGTGGAAGCCACCATGGAGGCAACAAATGTGAAGTGGAACTTTGCACATGGGATTGTTATGGCAGGGTTCTCTTCACACTTGTGATCTGGGGTCAGTCCTGAGCCTGCAGCAACACAGGGACATTCTTGGATCATGGCTGGGCCCAGCCCCAATACACTGACCCTCCACCCCCACCCCAGAAAGACACAAGTTCTGGTTTGATTCCACCTCTTCCAAGGTCTTGTGCCTTTTTCTTTTCTCTTTTGTTGGCTCTGGGCCATAGCTGGCAATACTCCAGGATTTCTTCTGGCAGCACTTGGGGGACCCTATGTGGTGCTGGGTATTGAACTGGGGTTGTATTGCTGAAGTGGCCACATGCAAGGAAAGGGCCTTACTTCTGGTGCTATCTCTTTGGCCCTGACTTTTTTTTCCCCAGTGACTTGCATTTCATGCAAGGTCAGTACCTTCATGAATGAGGCAAATGGTACCTCGGTTTCTTCACCCCTTCTGATCCTGGCCACTCAGCCTGTCATGTCCTGTTCATCAGCTCCTCAGGGATGCCTCAGACCCTACCTGGAGCTGGTGCAGCTCCTAGTCGGTCAGCTCTGAGGGGGATGGGGATGAGGTTAGGGGCAGGGGAATGGGTGGGGCAGAGGTTTGCACTTGATCACTTGATCACTTGACTTCCCGTTAATCGTCGATTTGCTCAAGCGGGCGTCAGTAACATCTGCATTTGTCCCTGTCGCATGCTAGTGTAGCCCAATGGAGTCTGTTCGCTCTAGGAACACGAAGAACCTCAAATCGATCATTCATGATCTTTGCACAGGCCCTGGTAATTCATAGGATTGTGATACCCCTGTCGCAGGGGGTGCAGTTTGCAACTAGGGGAGTATCCCTGTAAATCCAGTTGAGGAAGTTCTCAGCCTGCTGCTATTGGCAGCCATCCACCTTCCTTCCCCTGCCATCACCTCCCTGCCAGGCCCATGTTCCCCTGTCCCCCATTGTAACCCCCTGTATTGCGGTGAACCTCATGAGGCAGCAGGCCAGGGAACCTCCCTGCCTGGCAGTCAAGGCCTCCCGTGGTATGGCCTGATCCTACATGAGTCCCTCCTACCATCTCCTCTCCTGCCTGAGTTGCCAGGTCTGATTGAGATGTCCTCCATAGCATGTAGAATGGCGGCCATCATTTGTCCTAGTAGCTTCAGTGGTGATGGGGAAGTTCAAATTAAACCACATTCCCCAAACCCTCAGCACCATACTGGACCATCCCTGCTGATTGCACCTGAGCCTGTTCTCCTGTGCCCGGGGCCGTGGTCGCAGCAGAGGGCTGAGTTCTGACCACATCTGAGACACTGTGGGGCCTTCCTGGGCCGCCTTTGTCCACCTGCTCACGTTAAATGGAGCCAGTGATACACATGCGACATAGGGACATAATGATCCAGAGGGCCCGAGTGCACCATCTTCTGAACCCACAGTCCTTGCACACCAGCCAGACCATTTCCAGCTGCCCAGCTGTGCAGAGGGTCCCCTGGACCCTTCCATGGCCTAGGGCTGCACCAGCTCGGGACGAAACCTTGGCCCTGGAGGGGGAGCATTTGCCCACCATGTAGGTGCTGGCAAGTACTGAGCCTCTCTGTTCTCTGACCCAAAGCTCACACCTATCACCTCTGCTCATCCATCCTGAGCACAGCCCCAAAGAGAACTGGGTAGAGCGAGGTGGCCCTGGACTTCCCTCTGCACGGAGGACAGCCTGGCCTGCGTTCCACCTCGTGCCAGCTGCCACTTTGGACCTTACATTGCCAGCTTCTCACCAGCACCCCTAAGTGTCATGTTGAGTCAGTTTCACAAATGAGGTGGTGAGATTTGGGGGGTCTTCCTGCCTGGTGGAGCCCGACCATGGCCCTTCCTTCTAGCACATTTCTTGGTAGCCATTTCCTACCCTCACCCGTGGGCAGGAAGGTTTGCCAGTGTAGACTCTTCAGACATTAGGGCATTCGTCTGCCGAGGGACTGTGAATGGCAACTGTGAATATCGCTTGGATGGACCTAGACCAGCTGCCCGTACAAACACCCAGGTTAGACAGAACCAGGGTGCTCTCTTCTGAATGGGTGCTCAGGGGTCCGAGTGAATGCGTGACTCGCTGCATGCCCAGTGCCGTGATCACATTCTGCACCACCCCTGTGATACAGAGGAGAAAACTGAGGCACAGATAAAGCCTGTGCCTCATCATCTCAAAGCTAGCTTACTCCCTCTTTCTCATCTGGTCTGGGGGAGGGACGGTGGCCTTGGGGGACGGGGTATTGGATGGGGGCTCGAGGCCATGGACTTGGGTCTGGGCCACAGAATGGCTAAGCATTGACTGGAATTCTTTCTCCCAGAAGGCCGCTTGTGAATCCGAAACTTGGCCTAGCCCCGGGTCACAGCCACGTGCCAATACTCAGAGCCAACAGGCCACACCCAGAACGTCCCAAGTGGCCACAGAGGACCACGCTGCCTTCATGCTGGATGGCATGGCTGGGGCCGCTTTGCCTGGGCTGTGGCCCCTGGGAGCTGCCTGTGGCTCTGTGTGGCTCTGTGAGCAAACAGTGGAACCAAGTCCCAAAGTCTCACTTCTGTCACCCTCCACTTAGTTTTCCTCCCACCAGGTCAATTTTTTTTTAATGACCATCTTTGGGGGGAAAGAAAATGCTATTTCCTCTCCTTCTCCCGCAGTGAAGTCGAACAGCCTGCATGTGACATCAGGCCACTCGCATGTTTACTGAACGTCAGTGACCTGGGCCCAGCTGGGGGTTGGCCGGTTTGTCTCTGCCCCCAAGTGTCGGCTGGGAGTCAGGGCCCCACCACCATCCCCCAACCTGTCCTCACTGGAACGCTGCTGTCCCCGCAGGAGAGCGAGGATGCTGTCAAAGCACTGGCCAAGGAGAAGGACCTGCTGGAACGGGAGAAGTGGGAGCTGCGGCGACAGGCCAAGGAGGCCACGGACCACGCCACGGCCCTGCGCTCCCAGCTGGACCTCAAGGACAACCGCATGAAGGAGCTGGAGGCCGAGCTGGCCATGGTGAGACCCGCGTGGGCTGGGAGACGGGGCGTGTCCTCCTGTGTGCGGGCTCCCTCAGGGGTTCCTCCAATGGCGTGAGGTGGAAGGGGAGAGGGACAGCAGTCCAGGGGGGCTGAACAGAGGAGCAGACATGGAGGGGCAGTGACACTCCAGCTCCTTCCCCCATCCTGGGATAGCCACCTGCCCAGGGCCCAGAGGTGGAGGCATGGGAGACCATCCCCTCTTCCACACTGCCCAAGAGATAGTGGAAAGAAAAGTCTCCTGGACAAGGTCCTGGATCCTACCCACAGCTGCAAACAAAGAATTAAACTTTGTAACTTAAAATGCCTCCATGACCTACCCAGGTTCCATCTCCAGCATTACATTTGATTTCCCGAGCACAGAGCCAGGAATAAGCCCTGAGCACCAATGAATGTGGCCCAAACACACACACACACACACACACACACACACACACAACACCACTATATGGTGGTGGTGGTGGTGGTGGTGGTGTGTGTGTGTGTGTATATATACACACACACACACACACACAGTATACACACACTGTAGCACTGTCCTCCCATTCTTCATTGATTTACTCGAGTGGACCCAGTAACATCACCATTGTGAGACTTGTTACTATGTTTGGCATATTAACTACATCATGGGTAGTTTGCCAGGCTTTGTCATGTGGGCGAGATACTCTCAGTAGCTTGCCAGGCTCTCTGAGAGGGGCAGAGGAATCGAACTCGGGTCAGTCACATCGGCCGCATTGCAAGGCAAACACCCTACCCACTGTACACACACACACACACACACACACACACACACACTATATATATATATATATATATATAGCTGGAGCGATAGCACAGCGGGTAGGGCATTCGCCTTACAAGCAGCCAACATGGCCGACCCGAGTTCGATTCCTCCGCCCCTCTCGGAGAGCCCGGCAAGCTACCGAGAGTATTCGATATGCCAGACACAGTAACAACAAAGTCTCCAATGGAGACGTTACTGGGCCCGCTCGAGCAAATCGACGATCAACGGGAGGGCCTTTACCTTTACCTTATATATGTATATGTGTACACACACAGTATACACACAAGCACACGCAGTATATATATTTTGTATATATGTGCATATATATATACACACAGTATACACAGACTATATATAGTGTATATATGCATATATATACACACAGTATGCGCGCATGCGCACACACACACATATATGCACACACACACACCCGTAAGAACACATTTGTGAGAAACTAGACCAGAGTAATGACCCAGGCCACCTCCCAAGAGGAGGTCACTAGAGGCTTCTTTCCCTTTGTTCCTTTCTCCCTTTGTTTTGACTTTTCCCCTTTGTTTTTCCCCTTTGCGTCCTACTTTAAATGCTGCTGTGGTGAAAGAGTCTTCTTCGGGCTTCATCAAAGTCAAAAATGTTGTTTTGCTTTCACCCTAATCCAGAACAAACCTCTCTGGTTCTTTCAAATGCCCTGGGAAAGAGGTGCAGCCTGCGTGTGGGGACAGCCCCAGGGGGTGCGGGGGCAGAAGTCCCTTCCCTGCCCCTGTGTGGTCTCTCTGCTCCTGCACTCTGGGTCACGCCCCACCTCCCCCAGTGGTGACTGGGAGCTGGTGACCGGAAGGGCCTTCACCACTGCCTCACAGGAGGGTGGGGAGCCACGTGGAGCACACAGAGAGGGTACCAGCTACAGTGTGGGAGGTGGCCAGGGCATCTGGGACCACGCCAGCCCCATGCGTATTATCTGGACGGACCCCGTCAAGCCCTCTCTGGGTCTCAGTTTCACCAATTCTTAGCTGCCTATGGACCACAGGACTCCCGTGAGGGTCTCCATGAAACAGGGCCCGGGGACCACTTGGCTCGACTCCTGAGCACAGTGAGAGTTGAGACCCCTCTGACTGCGAATTTTCTCAGGTCACTTCCTGAAGGGCCCACCCCCTCCCCACGTGTGTCATCGTCATCATCTTCCCCCCCCCCCCCCCCCCCCCCCCCCCCCCCCCCCCCCCCCCCCCGTCAATGGGGCTCCTTGTCCAATGCTGACCCCTAGTGGCGAGAGTAGTGGAGAGGGTGCCCCAGTTCACATAGCAAGCAGAATCACAGTTCGGGACTCAGAATCCAGTTGCTTGAGGATGGTAAAGCCAAGTTTCATGTTTCAGAGCTCTTGAGAGGGCTCCCAGGGGAGAAGCAGGTGTCAAGGGGAGTCCCCAGATGTCATTACAGTTAGTGGAAGAGACGAGAGAAACACTGTGTGGATTTCTGCGGGCACCTGGTTCTCACTCAGCAGTGCACGGGCTCCTGTACCCACCTCCTCTGTGGGTCTCGTGCCTTCCTGGAGACTTCGAACCCTCTGCTAGACAGGGACCTTCCCTTGCTTCCTGACTCAGACATTCCCACCCGCCCCCCCCCCCACACACACACACCAGTTGTCAGGGAGCCCTGGTGCATGGGTGGAAGGTGCCACTCCAGGCTGACAGGTGAGGGTGAGACACGCCTAACTAAAGGAAGCCCCCGGGGGCGGGGGGCAGGGGGCGGGGTAGGTAGGGCCAGCAGAGATCTCAACCCCTGCTCTTCCTCCTGTCTTTCTGGGCTGCCTCGAGGGAGGCGTGTGTTAGAAGGCGTGTGGTGGCAGGAACTTGCCCCTGCTGCTGTGTGAATGCTGGGAATGTCTGTGAGAAGGAAGAGTAGACAGTTCCTCCTGTCAGATGCTCTCTTGTCTCTGAGACCCTGTGCCAAGTGCCAACCACGATGGAGGGTACAAGAGCCAGAGAGATATCACAGGGGTTAAGGCACTTCCTTTGCATGCAGCAGACCCCAGTTTGGTCCCCTATACCACATACGGTCTCCTGAGCACCATTGGGTGTGAGTCAGAAAGCACCTGCCAAAGTGGGCAGGAGTTGTCTGGGGAGTAGAGCAGTTGTGCACAGGAGGGGCACCAGGGTGGGCCTGGAGGCTGCACAAGCACCCAGAAGGCTCCAGTGAGCTGACTTGGTCCAGGAAGCGGGAGCCGGAGCTGGGGGAACTGCAACACTCAGCAGGGATGACACGCCCACCTGCCTCCCTGTGAGCAGCGGGACTGTCCTGAGAGTGAGTGGTCGGGCTGAGAGCCTGGGTCACCAGCCCTCCATGCCAGTTTCTGCTCCCTCTGCAGGCCTTCATGGGGACTCTGCCCATCCCCTGCCCAGCTGGTGCCTTGAGGTGCTGTTGAGCACACACCCCCTCCCTCTCCTAAAGGGACTTTCTTTTTTTTCTTTTTTTTCCTTTTTTTTTAAATAATTTTTAATGAATCACTGTGAGTTGTGAGATACCATTACAGACTTACAAACTTTTGTGATTACATTTCAGTCATGCAATAATCGAATACTTATCCCTCCACCAGTGCCCATTCTCCACTACCATATCTCTCCCACCACCCCCATACTATGCCTCCCCCCGCCTCTGTGGCAGGCACATTTCCTTATACTATCTCTCTCCTTTTGGGTGTTATGGTTTGCAATACAGGTAATAAGTGGCCATCTTGCTTGGTCCATAGTCTTCTTTCAGCACGCATCTCTCATCCCAAGCGAGCCCTCCAAGCATCATTCACTTAGTGGTCCCTTCTCTATCTTAGATGCCTTTTCCCCCAGCATGTGAGGCGGCTTCCAAGTCATGGAGAGGTCCTCCTGGCCCTTATCTCTATTATCCTTGGGTGTTAGTCTCCCATTCTGTTACTTTATATTCTGCAAATAAGTACAGTCATTCTATGTCTGTTCCTCTCTCTCTGACTCATTTCACTTAGCATGCTACTCTCCATGTTGATCCACTTAAATGCAAATGTCATGACTTAATCTTTTCTAACAGCTGCATAGTATTCCATTGTGTAGATGGACCAAAGTTTCTTTAACCAGTCATCTGTTCTCAGGCACTCGGGTGGTTTCCAGATTCTGGCTATTGTAAATAGTGCTGCAATAAACATAAAAGTGCAGATGTCATTTCTACTGTATCCCGAAGGGACTTTCATGCAGTTCATTTCCTTTTCCCGTGGGAGCCTGTCAACCACGGTCAGGCACCCAGGCTGGTGGCCCCACTTGGATGTCGTGCCTGCTGTGTATTCATGGGGGAGCTACTCCACCTCTCTGAGCTGCTGGATTGCGTCCTCTGATAAAAGCAGAGATAACCCCATTCTTCCTCCTCATGCACCAGGGCTGATGCTCAGAGCCTGGAGTAGGGGGCTAAACTCTAAGGCAGAGGGAGGGGGAGAGGGGATTATTTCCTGATCTGCGAGTAGCATGATGCTGTCAGCTCAGCCTCCTGCTGCCGTGTGGATTTATTTCTATTCCTCGCCAGTCAGCAGTGGACACAGAGCGGCGTGTCCTATATCTCCAGGGTATCCGAGTTGGAGGGAGCCTACAAGGTCACTTGGTCAAGACTTCTTTAAAAAAAAAATTAGGAAACCAAAGATCAGAGGAGGGAAGGACTTGCCTAAAAAAATGCAGCAAGTGAATGTGTCGGAGTGTATTTAGCTCTAGTCAAGGCCTGCCTGTGCCTTGACAGGAGCCTCCTTCCCACGAGTCCCAGCACCCCAGGAGGCACCCGTGCCCTGAGCAAAGTGTTGAAAACTCTGGAGCTAGGTGAGAGGACGGGTGCTTGTTTCATCTGAGTCCATGTTAGGGACCCCACCCCATCCCCAAGGTGTCAGGATTCACTGGTGAGCCCAGAGACCATCCCTGGGGGGGGGGGGTCTTCTCTGTCTCCCCTCTGCTCTGACATGGAGCTGGGACTCAGTTAGGAAAGTAAAAATTGCCCTTGATGAAGAGAGTGGGTTAATCCATTTCTAAAATCTGCCCCTCCTCCCGCCCCTCCCCCTCTATCGCTTCAGGTTGCTCCTAGTTTAGACCCCAAGTATCCTGAAGGGAGATGTCAGACACAGGATACAGAAAGGAAGGGGTGATCTGAATGCTCCCACCTGCTCTGACAGCCTCAAACTTGCCCCTGGGTTGGTTTCCATCTTATCCCAAGCACCAGCTTGAGGATTTGCCCGTTCGCAGAGCACCTGGGGAAGGGTAGGGTCAGGGTGAATTGGGGAGAACTCTGAGTGACAGAAGCCAACGGGCCATTTTCTTATCATTTCATTGGATCCCCGCCGGACCTCAGAGAACATGATGGAATGGGGACGTGTGTCCTTGCACTCCCTTTTCTTGCTCTTGTCTTGCTTTCTTTGCCAAGACCGGGGCTGAATGGTAGAGAACCCCAGACTGTGCCCTGGTGGGGTGACCTGGGGTACAGGTGTGAGACTTCCTTTGAACTTGTGATGCAGCACCCCAGGCAGCTTCCCACAAAGGTGGGACCCACAACTTGCTCACCGTGATGCGAGATGCGTGAGCAGCAGCCTATCAGGACCCCCTGGTCACATCCTTTGCTTCCTGTCTCCCCACTCCCCAGGCCAAACAGTCCTTAGCCACGCTGACCAAGGACGTGCCCAAGAGACATTCCCTGGCCATGCCTGGTGAGACGGTACTCAACGGCAACCAGGAGTGGGTGGTGCAGGCCGACCTCCCGCTGACCGCCGCCATCCGCCAGAGCCAGCAGACGCTCTACCACTCACACCCCCCGCACCCTGCAGACCGGCAAGGTGAGTTCTGGCCACGTGTGGTAGCGGGGAGAGCAGCCCCGTCTTCACAGGAAAGCTGCTGGGGGCAGGGGCCGAGGACAGAGGCCACAGACTCCGGTATCGGGAAAGTCTTAAGAGGGGGCAGAGAGAGATAGTAAAACAGGGCCAAGCCGGGTCCAATCACAAGCAGTCACGAGCACTACACATAGTCCCTGAGCACCAGGAGCATTGCCAGGTGTGACCCAAAAACCATAAAAGGAGGAAAAAAAAAAATAAGTTCCCAATTGCTGTACGTCCAACAAGCTATACCCAACCTGTCTCCATCTCTCAGCTCTGCGGCCTCCATTTGGCCTCATTTTTACTATGTCTTTCCACTCGCCAGACAGGTGCCTAACCTGTCTAGACTTTCAAAGCCCTTGCCACCCAAAACCTAGAGGAAAAACTCCGGCTCTGTCAAAGGACTCTGGTTAGCCTGGATCACATGCCCATCCCCGGCCCAGTGGCTCTGTTGGGAATTTGAGCGCCAATTGGCCAGCCTGCATCACGTGGTCAGGAGCAACTAACTCCCTGATTGGCAGCTCCCTGGGATGTGGGGTGGGGCAGACATAAATGCCATGGGTGCTGCCTTCTGCCTATGGAGCGCATCCCAGAAACCCCTGCAGTCCACCTAGTTCTTTGTCCTGCCCGTGAGTTCAGTGGTATGACAGGAGCAGGTGGGGGACAGGCACGGGGCCTTTGGAGTATGCAGGCCCTGCAGAGACCTTGGCAGAAACCCTCTTCATACACAGCCCTGCAGCTCGTGCTCTTGTGGAACAGAAAGGGCTTCCTTCCTCCAGTGCCGGTAGAACAGTCAGCTGGGGGAGCTCTCAGGCTCCTGGGCTGAGCCATCGTGGGTCAGTCCTTGAGCACCTACTGCATGCCTGGCACTACGAACTGGGTCTGACGTGGCTAAGTCACCCAGGTACCTGCCCTGGTGTGACTGACACTGCCGGGTGTCAATAAGCTGCCGCATAGAATAGTCCCGAAGAAACCTTAGTGCAGGAAGAGGAAACCAGCAGAAAACAGGTGATTTAGTTGCAGGGAGGAGGGAGAGAGAAAGGGAGACAATGGGGAAGCTGATAATCGGGGCAGGCCTCTCTTGAGACTGGCTGAGGCCCAAGTTCATCCTCTGGGTATGTGGGCAGGTGGGACCAGCTGACTCCGTCGGGCAGGTATAGACCCAGCATGGTATCAAGAGATGAGGTGAGGCTGGCAGAAGGGCAGGGGCCAGCAGACAGCTCATGTTGTGCCCGAATTTCGGATCCCAAGTTGCAGAGAGACCAAGTCCACACATGATAATGCAAAAACAAAGGAACTTGATTGCTAGCTCGAGCTAGGGTCGAAGTCTCATCCAACGCAGTGGAATCTTGACAAGGACCCTGACTCCAAATCATATGCAGTTTATATAGGTTTAAAAGTTAAGAGCAGTTTATATACTGGGTTATTTTTAGCATTGACCCTATTACAACAGTGGTCAGCAATTAGACAATGGTTTCCCAGTAACAGTAGCACTGTAGCACTGTCCTCCTATTGTTCATCAATTTGCTCAAGGAGGCCCAGTAACGTCTCCATTGTGAGACTTCTTGTTACTGTGTTTGGCATATTGAATACATCACGGGTAGCTTTCCAGGCTTTGCCATGTGGGCGAGATACTCTCGGTAGCTTGCTGGGCTCCCCGAGAGGGGCGGAGGAATCGAACCCAGCTCAGCGGTATGGGCCGCATGCAAGGCAAACACCCTACCACTGTGCTATCGCTACAGCCCTACCAGTAACAGTAACAGTAGTTTCTAAGGAGAGTACAGTGAACCCTCATGACCAGCCAGACCCAACTGCCCAGTTCCTTATCTAGGCACCTTACTCGTTTACCAAAAACTGCAAGTCCTGCTTCGGGGAAACAGAAACTGAGGCCTCGTTGAGACTTAAGATTAGCTTCAGCTTCTCATGGCATCAGTTTCACCCTCGCATTCACTCCCTGGGGGGACCTGATTCCCCACTTACTCTGCAGTGTGAGGGCTACAGTGCAGAGGCAGAGAGATCCAATGGGTGTCTGCCAGGGTCTTCCAGGCAAGACACCTTGGTGGTGGCTCCAACTCCATGGGGACTGGGGGTGTGTGGAAGTGGAATCAGAGAACTAGAAGGATGTGGGTTTGAGTTTGCAGGTGCCAGTGATGACTGGGTATGGGAAACGAGGGAGAGAGGCACCAACTTGATTTCTGACTCAGGGAGCTGGGGATGATGGTGACTAGAAAATGCACCGACTTTGGAGACCGGCCATAGTAGGAAGATGGTCAGACCCCTCACTGAGGTCCCGGTCCATGCATGCCTCTTCTCTTTCACCCCAATCAAAGCGGGGCCTCATTGTACCGAGGAGCTGGGCAATCCTTCCCAGGGCTGTGGGGTGAGGGGGATGGAGGGGGTAGTGGGATAAAGAGGCAGAGGTTTCTTCTGTCCAGCCCTCGCACTGACCAGCTGTTTCCTGCTTTCCAGCGGTCAGGGTGAGCCCCTGCCACTCCCGGCAGCCCTCCGTCATCTCCGACGCCTCTGCCGCCGAGGGTGACCGGTCCTCCACCCCAAGTGACATCAACTCCCCTCGACACCGGACGCACTCCCTCTGCAACGTAAGGCCAACAGCAGCGGGGCTGGAGCCCGGAAGCTGCAGGGCAGGGCGGGGGGGTGAAGATGTACCCGCTGTTTCCTCTCGTCCCCCCAGGGAGCACTCTGGCGAAGGAACTTCCCGTTCTGTTCTTTCCTTTTGCGAGAAGAGATGGCGGTGGGGAGAGCAAAGAAATGAGGCCCGTTTGTGTCCGGGAGGGCAAGGAAAAGTCCAGAGAAAGGCAGGCCTGGGTCCGCTGTGGGGCGTGGCGCCCCGCCTCCCCTCTGGAGGCCTGTGTCTGGGCTGCCAGGCCTCTCCCTACAGACCTGGGACCCCCACACTACTCAGGCCCTTACAGCACCGCCTCAGCTCCCGGTAGCGCCTCGGCCTTCCTCCAGAAAAGAGCCTGATTGTTCTGGATTCCCAGGAGCTCTGGCATGTACTGCCTCTGCAGAGGCATCCCGTGACTTGGTTCCAAGTTTGCTGCGTATTTAATCCAACGTTCTTTTATTGCATATTGGGCACCAGCGACCAGGAGGCACAAGTCCCTGGCCCCTAGCTCCTGATGACGAGCGGGGCAGACAGGTGGGCTTCCCAGGAGTGAGGGGGCTTGTGAAGGTGGGTCAAGTGTGTGAGGACAGGAGGCTGACATGGAACGTGGTGGTCAGGTGTGGAGGCCCCTGTGCATTTTCATTCCATTGTGTACCAGACACGCCCCACCCCACCCCCACCCAACCTCCCATCTCCAGATGATGGGGATACAGTAGACCCAGATCTTCAAGTGCATGGGAAGGTGTTCTCCAACACAGTTCCTGTTACCTTATTAATCAGCAAGGCAGAGACTCAAAACAAAGTGAGGTGCATGAGCTGAGAAAGAATAACTGTGGCTTTCCCGTGATGTTATTATCCACCTGCAAACCCCGAGAATAAACAGAAAGGCCTTTAGAACTCTCAAGTACCTAAGGGCACTGGTTGAAAATCAATTTCTAAAACTCAGTAACTTTTCTACATAGGAGTTTTCACCATGGAAACTTTTTTTTTCAACCTGTCGATACACTGAGAAGTATCACTGTATCACTGTCCTCCCATTGTTCATTGATTTGCTCGAGCGGGCACCAGTAATGTCTCCATTGCGAGACTTTTTTGTTAAAAAATATTTTTTGTTATGAAAAACAGCTGAGATTAAATGTACAGTCACTCAGCTTGTCCCAGTGATGGGCTGCAACTGTTTGTACCTGGGGCCTGCCACTGCCCTTACAGGGATTGGGAGATAGTTCCCTGAAACCCGTGAAGGGCCGGGATTCTTTCTAACTGGGGCTATAAGGAAGCAGTGTTGTGTTGCTGTCTCGTCCCCAAGAGAGAACCCTAGTGACAGAACTAAGGTGGGTCATAAAAAGGACCATTGCTCTCTGGTTCCCCAGGGCCACAATGAATTCTACTTGCCACCAGGGCTATTCATTACAAGCAGAAGAGGCCCAGCCCAGAACCAGACACCCTGAGCTATCCATGCAACCCTAAGTGAGAAAACGGTTTCCAGGGCCGTACTCTATCTTTCCATGGATGGGCCCAAGGAGCCTCTGACAGCTAGAGGAAAATTTGTCCTGCTGGAAAGGTCCCCAACGACCACTTGAATTGCATTTGGCCCCAGGCCTAGCCTTGCCCCGCTACTCTAGGAGGAAGTCCCAGTCCATTCAGTTCCGTATACTGGGTCCGACTCGCAGGAAACGGGCACTTCGGTGAGCCATCCTTTCACAGATACTGGCCTCATTTTCCTGCCCAAAAATTTGGCAAAGAGATCCCTCCCTCCCCAGAGTAGACTGCCAAATAACATTCTTCCTGCCAGATGCGTTCTCTTTGCAGAGCTTGAGATGGGACAGAAGACAAAACTACTATTTATTACATCCCTGCCCTCCCTCAACACTTCCATCCCCCATCTCAGATGCACAAAGGCAAGCCAGGGAGATCCGAGAATAGCTTCAGGTGGCTATTTCTCAGGCATCTGACCCAGCATCACAGGAGATGTCCCTCCTGAGACACGGACTGCCCCGTCCTTTCATGCTCTGGCCACTCATTTAGAGCAAAAACAGAGACCAGCACACACAGCCTAGCACAGAAGGTTGATGGACTTTGGCCCAGAAGATTCCTGCTTGCTTCTTCATGGGCATTCCCCTGCAGTTCTGTAAACAACCACGCGGGTACTCCCTCATGATTTACTTGGGTGATTCAAATCCTTTTGCCCCTAGGCGGGGCCAACTCATTTGGGGATCTAGTTAAGACCTTTGCCTGGCCATAGGAAGGAGCCCACCCACCAAAAACCAACCTGAATTTGAACTGTAGATCAGCTTTGCATTAGCCACAGGACATTTTACTATTTACTGTAGATCTGGCCAGTGGGTGCTACTTGCACCTCTGCAAAAATAAAGAGAGATTTTGTGGGGTTGTTTGCGAGGGAGTTTCTAGAGGCTGTAACCCCCAAGTCTTTGTGTCTGTAAAGTCTTGAATGTCTTAGTGAAAGAACTGACTGCAGTAACTAACGCTCTACATCTGTTGGGGCAGAGACAGGGGCTTCTGTGTGATCCATTTGCTGTTCATAGAATTATTGGGGGGGGTCGTCGGGAGGGATGGGCACAGGTCAAGAGGCTGGATTGGGCAGAGGAGCACCCAAAGACTCTGGCCAGGATTCCTGGTCCAGATTGCACCTCGATCACCCCCATCATTGAACTGTGGGTGGCAGGGGTAGGGAGGTCCCCCAGGGGAGGCTTCCTTCCAGGGAAGACCCCGCACCCGAGCGAGGGCCATCTCTGCCCTCACGCGCTGTATTTCTGTGCTTTCATCTTTCTCTTCTCCTTTGGCCACAGGGCGACAGTCCCGGCCCAGTTCAGAAGAACCTGCACAACCCCATTGTACAGGTAGGTATGTCCTCCCTGGCCTGCCCCTGGCTGCACCCCTCCTTCCTGGGAACCTCGATACTCCCACACTTGGGGAGTGGTTAGCAGAAGAGTGATACCACTGCCCTCCCATAGGGTCTGGTGCCAGGGGCAACCCCCCCCCACACACACACACACACACACACATCCCAATCCTTCTAGGCCTGCCCGGTGCCTCACCGCCCTCCATCCTGCCATTCTGGACCACAGAGGCTGCTGGCCCTCACCACGGGGCTCTGCACCCCACACTGTGCGAAACTGGGATTCATTCTTAACATTTCTGTACTGCCAGCAAAGGAGTAATCTGCCTGAAGCTGGCGGTCAGAGGGGTCCCTGAGCTCATCAGTTGTCTAGTCTGGGGGCCTCACCTGCTGGTCAGTGCAGTACTCGTCACCCTCAGGGATGAGACTTCAAATGGCACGTTCCAGGCTCTTCACCAGGGAGAGTCTCGCCCACTCGCTGCGGGGTGAGGTCTAGAACTCGGGAGCTGCAAAAGTGCTTTGGGAACCACAAGTCTAGGCCAGAGAGTCCCAGAGTTATTTGCCCCCCTCCCTGTCCCCTTTTCTGAGAAAGAATCACTGAGTGGTCCCCTGGAAAACTACCATCTTGCAAACAAACAGCGCCCCCAGTGGCACCCCGGGCTGTTGCCAACCCGTTCATTCCAGCACCCTCCAGGAAGCTGTATTGCGCACTTTGGGAAAAAACCCTGGACGAGTCACCCACCACACCTTTGAATGAATAACAGCACCCTGTCCGCATAAAGCAGCACGTGACAGTTTGCGCATCCCTCCTTACAGACAGCACCACTCCCCAACCCCTGTCCCCCAGGATCTTCACTATGATGTCTTCCCTTTACACACAGATGAGCAGACAGCTCAGAGGGGCCGATGTTCCCCAGGGTTCCATGGGTAATAGAATAATCAGGACCGGAAGTCAGCCCCGGCTTCCCGTACTCCTGTGGCCAGTGGCCAGCTTACTCCCCTGGACCTCAGTCATCCTTGCTCTGGGCTGACTCAGAGCTTAGGGTTTTTCCTTCCTCCTTTCTGGACCCTGCCAGACCCCTTTTCCACTACCCCAGGGACTCTTAGTTCCGAGTGCATCCTTGCTCCTGCCAGCCCTCAATATGTGAGGGGCAGTTGGAGGGCAGGGGTGGGGGTGGGAATGTAAATGATAACAGCATCAGCACCACCCATAACTTATCAAAAGTTTGCTGTGCACCAGGCCCGGTCCTAAGGTTTTTTTCCTCCCTTTCATGCACCCTTATGACAGTGTGTGTGTGTGTGTGTGTGTGTGTGTGTGTGTGTGTGTGTGTGTGTGTGTGTAGAAACCCCAATGCCTCCACCTTCTCATCCCGACCCCTCCACGCTGCGAACCGTCCCCGGTTCCCCCACCCCACCCCCATGCCAGCACCCAGCTCAAGTTTGCTTTGTTCTTCTCCCTGGTGCCCCTGGCCCTGACTCCACAGTCACTCGAGGATCTTGAAGACCAAAAACGGAAAAAGAAGAAAGAGAAGATGGGATTCGGCTCCATCTCGCGCGTCTTCGCCAGAGGGAAGCAGCGGAAGTCCCTCGACCCCGGCCTCTTTGATGGTACCGCCCCTGATTATTACATAGAGGAGGATGCGGACTGGTGATACCCGCCGCCCTGCGCCTGCGACCCAGCGGGCGCATCTGTGCAAGTGGCCGTGCGTGCGCGCGCGCGCTGGGGCGCGCGTGGGGGCGAGCGAGGCCGTGAGTGTGTGTGCGTGTGCGTGCGTGTGCGTGCATGTGTGCGTGTGCGCGTGCGCGCGTGGGGGGTCGGGTGGGGCCGGGCGCCCCCCGAGGAGGAGCGCCAAGACACGTGGGACCCCTTTCCCCTGCGTCGCCACCTCTGTAATTGATGTACATACTACAAACGTGTGTGACTCTGTCAACTCTTGTCTTCAGAGCGATACAAGTTGTGTTGTTAACCTGAGTTCGTTTTGTTCTTCCATGTTTTGATTTTTTCTTTTTTTTCTCTTTTTTTTTTTTTGGTATGGTTTGTTGGGCTGTTGTTTTGTTTGTTTGTGCGTTTTCTTCCCATCCCTCTCTCCCCCCTCCTCACCTCCTCCTTTTTATGAAACTTGAAAACTTGAAGGACTGCTGTGTATTTGTAAATAACCAAACTCTTGTGCACTCTGTCCGTGTAAATGTCCCTCGTCCTCCGCACCGCTGCTTCTGGAGCCTGTGTCCTCTAGGATGTGGTCTGTTTCCCCCTGTGTCCCCCTCCCAGCCCCCACTGTGTGAACGTGTGGGACCAGACCCTGTTCTCAGGGTGTGCCCGAGTCACTTTAACCACAAAAAAAAAAAGCCACTGTCATCATCTCGGGCCTCTGTCAACAGTCACCTGCCTGATCTGGGCTGGGTTTGTCCGAGGTCTGACGGTGGCGCTCTTATTTTCACGGCCTGCCAGTTTTTAAATTGCATTGCCGTTTCTTCTTTCTTTAGGGGGGAAAAAATTGTTTCGTTTAATTTATTTGCACAGATGCAGAAAACATAGTTCTATCTAAATTATTACATAAAATATTGGAATGTCTATTTTTCCATGGGGCGGGCGGGAGTCGGGGTTTCTGTTGTCTTTTCTCTGCTCATGCTGCTGCCAAAACTGCACACGAGGTCGAGGCTAGGGCGGCCCGGACCGCAACCCCCTCCCCACCCCGACCGTTGGAGTTTAAAGCTTGCTTCTTTCTGTTCTCCCCGATCCCCACCCCCGCCCTCCGCCACTCTTCCCTGCCTGCTTGTGCCCTTTCCACCTTCCTGGCCACCTTCCTAGCCGCCTTCCAGGCCTTCCACACTAGCTGCGGGCACTGCCGCGCTGACCTCCTGCATCCAGCCCCCGATGGAAGGGCTGCCCGCTCCCGGGTCTGTCTTTCAAGAGAGAGGTTGAATGTGGGCTGAGACGGCTGCCCGCAGGTGCACAGGGGACCACCAGGTGGGTGGGCAACCTGAGATCCAGAGGGGCCTCACCGGGAGCCCGCCGGCATCCTCCCTGTGGCTGTACCTGTGGTCCCTTCTGCACTTGGGCCAGCAGGTGGCAAGTGGGAGTAGCCCGACCCCCTGGGAAATGCCATTGGGGTCAGTGCCCAGCTCCTGAGCCTTTGACCAGCTGGTCCCAGCCCGCTCACCTCCACTCTGAGGGAGAAGGACCAGGCGGGTCAGCAGTGACGGAACACTGTCCAGTGGTGTCCAGTGTAACGCCTCGGTGGCCAGAAACCGCACACAGTGCGGCCGGGCCCTCTCGCGGGCCTGAACTGTCTCCCTTTTGATCTGTGAATCTCCCTCCTGCTCCACCTTAATTACTAACACAGCTCAATTCACACCACCCTCTAAACCACACAAGTTCTCTCATGGTGACGCTGTTTTCAGCTCTTAAAAAGAAGCAGGAAGACTTAAATGCTGGAGCCTCTCCATTGGATGGCGAGGGTCTTTTTGTCCAAAGTCTCAAAACAAACCAGAAAAGCCCAGCTGCTCCCTGCCATCCTACCAGTGAGGTGGGGGGCGTTGGTAAGTTGGTGGGGGTACCTCACAGAGGTCTTTCCAACCTCTCCCTGGCCGTGCTGTTCACTGAGCCTGGTGGTGAGGGGGAGCAGCTGGAACCAGCATTTTGGTGGAGAGAGAGATTTTAGAAATACTTTTCTCCTCGCCCCTCACTCCACCTCCTGTTGAAAAAAAATATTCTGGTTGGTTTTTATTGGTTTCAGTTTTTCTTTATTTCCCTTTACTTAGGAGAAAACAAGATCGCAACCACTCCTGGTAATGATTTAGTAGTTCCTTTTCATTTCAGTTTTTGTAAATTAGGAGATAATTCTAAGAGTTACTAAGGATGATTTATTTAAGAGAACTACGTCAAATAGCGAATGAGTTATGGGTAACATTAGATGAAAATGACCTTTCCCGTGGGAAGGGTTTCTCGAAGGCATGGATGCAAATATAAAATATTAAAAAAAATCTAAATAAAGCTTATTTTAAAATATGATTGAATCCTATGTTATTTGATTGCTTCTATCCGGCTCCGGTGGGAGGCTGCGCTCTGCTGGGAGGCAAAGTCCCCACCACCTGTTCTGGAATTCCAGAGCCAGGTCCCCAGAGGGTGCTGGGAGGGGCCGAGGAAAGCTGGCTGGATTCGGGGCCCATCGAGGGGCTGAAGCCGGGGTGGCCTCCCAAACTTCTCCCCTTGGCCACCCTGTCTAAAATTTGGAGGCCCCATGGGTCATGGGACTGCCCCTGTGCCCTGATGCCACTGGTCCACTCAGCCCCCGTCCGTCAGCTTTCATCTGCTCCCTTCCCCTACCTCCCCTTGCTCCTTTCAAAGGCCCAGGGGCTCCCGTGAGGTCGGGACCTGTATCTTTCTGCAGACCTCAGGAGGTCTCTGCATCGTCCCAACTTCCCATACTCTCTGGGGCCGGAGAGTTTAAGAGAAACCAAGGGAGCCCCAGGACTGCCCTGATGGAGCCGGGCCGAGCCAGGCTTTTCCCAGTGATAACCATGGTGTTGCTCGGTTATTCCGATCCCAGACTGAAGCATCACCCTCAAACTGCACCTCCCAGCTTACAGACATCCTCTCCTGCAGTGAGCCCGAGGGAGCAGTGGCCAGTTAACATCCCCAAACTCAAGCTCTGTGAAAGGGTGACCATACAGGCATGTCAGGATAGCAAGGACCCGTTGGGGGGAGGGGCGGGGCAGGGCCAGGAACTTTTCAATGGGACATTTATACTAACCCAGTGAAATCAGCAGTTCCAAAAAAAATACACCAATCAGTGCCAGCCCCTGACTCCAAATGCTGATGGACAAACTTCCCTGGTGAGTCTAAGTTGCAGCCAATATCAGGACTACTGGGCTAGTCTGAGGGCAAGTGGTCCAAGCACGTATCCCTCTCACCTCAGCAGACATCACCAACCCATTACAGAGTTCATTCTGCCAAGCCCTGAACAGCCTGTGAATGCTTCTTTATCAGAAGCCTCTGGCAACCACCTGAGCCACTCAGCCAGAGTTCTCAACCAAGAGAAAACCTATTTGCTACCCCAGCTAAGCTAGCCTTTCATATTAGAGAGGTGGGGAAAATTGCAGACGACAGAGGAGTGACTTGTCCACATTCTTAGCTTCTCTGTAAGTCAAGGGCCTGGGCTAAGGAAAAGTGATTTATTCCATTCTCTGTAGCACTACTCAAAGGCCACATTAGCTTCCGTGTTAAAAGACCTTGCAGCAAACGGTCCAACTTTAGGTGACCCCTATTTGACTGAAATTGTAGTAAGCTTTCCAGAGCTCTGGGTCCAGGGTAAGGCTGCACAGGCTATGGAATGCGTCAGCTCAGAGGGCTGAATAGCACCTTGGGTTGTGCAGTACACAACCTGCAGAAATGTACTTGTCAGCCTTTCTGTATGCTCTCCCTTCCCTGCTGGCAGGCTCCAGTCCCTGTAACCTAATAATATAATAACAAAAATAATTATCTAACATATATTAAACACTTTCCTTAAGCCGGGGTCCGTGCCATGTACTTTACATGTATTAACTCTTTAAACCCTTTCAGTGGTTTAGATTACGAACCGGAGAAAAGGATAAACAAACGGGTCATGGTCATGGAGCTGATAAACTCGAACTAGAGTCAAATTTGGGGACCTGGCCCAGTGCCAGGCTCTGCCCCGCTTCACCAGTGGGACCAGTGGTTTCCAACCACTGGTCTATCAGCCTCTGTTGGTTGCAGACGGAAAGAGGTTGAGAGCTACTGGTGTGTGGGGTGGTGATTAACTGCTGGTCCATCGACCAATGCATGTTGGTCTTCAGGTGCAAGGTTGAAATCACTAAGCTCTGGGCAGCGGGGGTGGGGACCAAGTAGATGGGCATCATCTGTGCTTGAGCTGAGTCTGATTGGAACCTCCCTCTTCCCTTGCCCATTGGCAGCCTTGGAACAGCCTGCCACTACCTCGCTGTGGGGACTAATAGCATGTTTTATCCCAGGCCCAGAAACGCACTCTCCACGCAGGAAAGTGGTAAGCAAGGCAGAGCAAAAAGGCACAGCCATCCAGACACTCTGAACTGTCTCTGCTGGCCCTGCCTGGGGCCACTCTCTACCCCATTTACTGCACCCGAGGTCTCACCAGAGGGTGCCACTGCTGTGTGCCTTACTCATCATGGGCCCCCGGGTTGCAGGGTAATAGACTACAACCCACGGAGGTCATCCACCTTTGGACAGTCTGGTTTAAATTTCCATTATGGGCCAGGGGTGTGGTTCAGTGGCAAAATGCGTGCCTTGGATGCATGACAACTGGGTTCAATCCCCAGTACCACAAAATAAACAAAATGAAAAAATCTATTTGGGAGTCAGGGAGTTGAGCCAAAGGACTGGAGCACGTAGAACCTGAGAGACAGTACAGGGCTTAAGGTGTTTGCTTTGCTTGAAGCAGGTCCTGGTCCGATACCCGGCAACATTTGTGATTCCCCCAACACTGCCAGGAATTATCCCTGACCAGAGAACTAGGAGCAAGTCCTGAGCACTTTCAGGTGTGCCCCCACAAGATACACCCCACCTCTTACAAGGCTGGAGCGATGATACAGCAGGTAAGGCACTGCCTTGCAAGTAGCCAACCTGGGTTCAATCTGCAGCAACATATGTGGTCCCTGAGCACTGCCAGGAGTGAACCCTGGGCATTGAGCCAGGAGTAAGCCCTGCATACAGCCAGGTGTGGCCCCCAAACAAAAAACAAACAAAAAAGAAGGATGAAGAGCTGGAGCATATGCTTTGCATTTACAGGTGGGTGCCCCATAAGGACCGCTGAGCACAGGTCCAAGAGCAGTCTCTGAGCACTGTTGCATGTGCCCTCCTCCCCTAGGGGGAGGAGGAATCTCTGAGATCTAGACAAATGTTTCAAAGGACTGGAGTGCTTTGAACTAAAATAAAAAAAAAAAAACCTGACACATGGGCCCTTTGACCTATGACCCATCAAAACCTATGACCAAAGCCCCAATTTCACTCCAAGGACTTCACAGATTCCCGAGCTTACGTGCTCTTGAATTTTTCTCGGCTCAGACCAAGCTAGGTAGAGGGAATCCTGCTGTGACACCCCCACTTCCTACCAGCTCTCCGTTCCCAGTGAGAGCAGTCTAGGGCTAATAGAAGTTGAGACGATACATCCTTAGGGTTTTGCTGACAGCAGCGTAGATTCTTAATTTCCTATTGTGAAAGCTATCCATAAAAATCTGATCAGGGACATGGCTCGAAGGACCGGGGCACATCCTTTGTGTGCAAGGGCCCTGCTCTAATCCCCAGTACTGCGTGGTCCCTCAAGCACCACCAGATTTCTTTTTGGAGGTGTGACTCCCCAGAATTTTCAGGTGACTTAGGAGTCCACTCTTGACTGTATGTTAGAAATGGTTGAAATACCCCAGCAGAGCTGGAGAAGTAGCACAGGGGTCCATGCGCTCGCCTTGCATGCAGTCAACTCAAGTTTAACCCTGGCACTGCAGATAGTCTCCTGAACCCTGCCAGTGTGAACTCTGAGTGCGGAGCCAGGAGTAAGCCTTGAGCACCACCAGGTATGGCCTCAAAACCAAATGAAAACTAAACATCAAAGAGTCTGAGAAGTGTCAGTCTACCAACTCCTCAGCGTCTAAGTGAATGGTGGCTGTATGGGGGATCTATATCCAATTCGTAACAGATTTTGTTTTCTAAAGACATGTAGTACTGGAAGAGATAATGGTGACTCAGAGCTGAGTTATTGAAAAATAGACTAAGATGATACCCTGAGCTTTCACATCTCCAACAAAGTGAACCTTTTAGGACCCCAAGAGGATTTAGCTTGCGAGGGGTCAAAGTGATAGCCCCTGGTTAGGATGTATGCCTGGATTTGATCCCACCATTATGTGACCTCCCAAGCTTCACCAAGCACAGCCCTGCAGGCCCCTGGGCACTGCCACGGTGGCCATAGTGGTCCCCAGTACCATAGAGGCTGAGCTGCACCCCATCCATGACCATTGCTTGAGCCGCTAACCTAGTTGGCCCAGGACAGGCCCCTGTGTCCCTGAGCATCAATTGTGATGCTCCATCCCTCCCCTGGCAAAAAAAAAAAAAAAAAAAGATATATAATCAACTGAGAATACTGGCTTGTCCTTCCTGGGAAGGCAAGAGCCCTAGTACCACACGTGCTTTAGTCCCTAAAACTGCTGAGTGACTATGTGTCTGTGCTTCTGTTTCTTAGGTTTGAGGACTGACAACTTTCCTAGTTGGTTACCAGTAAGTCACCATTAATAGCACCAAAACAAGAGACACAATCCAACCACATGCCATGCTTGCTGCCACCTGTGGGGCCAAGCAGGTCCAGATAATCTCACTGGGCTCTGGTCCTGCATTGTTCCAAGAAAGTTGCCCAACTCCTGACCTTGGGGTTCCCATCCAAAGGAGGGGTGTCCTAACCCCTCACTAATCCAAGGGAAGGGCAGGCTCCAGTCTGTGTTCCCCAGCACCTGCGAACAGATAGATTCAACCAGAGGTAGGAAAAAATGCTGAAGTGGCTTGACATATTTTCTGAGCCACACGTGACTATTAAAACTTGTCCCTAGGGGTGGGAGTGTGAAGTCAGGGCATTCAGCTCTGTAAGCCTGACATCTGAGAAATTCCAGTCCGAGCGACAATACAATGGGTAAGGCTCTTGCATGCAGTTCTACCCACAGCTCCACGTGGCCCTCTGAGTCCCACCAGAAGGGATCCCTGAGCATTGCTGAGTGTGGTCTCCAAACAAAACAGACGTTCCCAGTCCACAGAGCCCGGGTTCTATGCAGGTGTTGCTTAGTGAGGGAGCCCTCTGCCTCAATGCAGGGTGGGTCTGAGGTGCTTACCATACGCTGGATTTTGTCCTTTGGAATTCAAGTGGAAACGTTCTCTCTGCTGTGGCTAGGGCTGGGAATTTTTAAGCAAGACAAATGACCAGGTTCCCCCTGCTAGCTTCTTGAGGCAGAAAGCTTCAAGGACCATAGGGTGACCCA